TTAAATCCCCACTACCAAAAACAAACAAACAAAAAAAGAAACAACCAAACATTTGCCAAGTTTTTAACACTGTTGTTGTGAAAAATAAAGATGGCTAGGGGTCAGCTGAGTCATAAAAGGGCTATAGCTTGCTCTGGGCATTAAAAGCGGGGCAGGGTTTGCAAGCAAAGCAAAGCAACTGCATCTCTGGGGAAAGCGTTAAAATCAGAAGAGTCTGCAATTAAGGAAGTAGGCAGACCATGCTAACCTGTACCAAAATAAGACAAGTGGTGGAAGGTAAGCCTGGGTAGGAAGTACAGGGCCAACTACCAAAGGTTTGAAAGGCAGACAGTGAAATCTGGTGGAAGCTATTACAAGTTCTAGAGCAGTAACATGATGAAATGGAAATAGGAATATAAAAGGGAATTGTATACAATGGGAGTTAGTCAATACAAATTTTACAGTTCAAATAGAACAATTTCTGAAAGCATTTTCCTAAGTTGGATTTTCTGTGTAAGGTGTGTGTGGCACTAGGGATTGAACTCAGGGGCCCTCTACCATTGAGCTACATCCCTAGTCTTTTTTTTTAAGAGAGAGAGAGAGAGAGAATTTTAATATTTATTTTTTTAATTTTTTCGGCGGATGCAACATCTTTGTTTGTATGTGGTGCTGAGGATCGAACCCGGGCCGCAGGCATGCCAGATGAGTGCGCTACTGCTTGAGCCACATCCCCAGCCCCATCCCTAGCCTTTTTTATTTTTTGTTTTGAGACAAGGTCTCACTAAGATGACCAGGCTGGCTTTGAACTCATGATCTTCCTGCCTCCAGTTGCTGGGATTGCTGGTGTGCTCTACCAGGCCCAGCTATGTGGTGCAAGTCTATAAATTTTATTTACTTTCAGGTGAAGTAACAAAGGAGCCTGCCTCATCTTCTCTTAGGAAGCCCAACACCTGGGGCAAAACTCCCTGCCACTTTGTAGGAGACCTAGGCCTAATTGGCTTAGGCTTCAGCAAGCTTCTTCCCTTTGCTGTGAAACCTAAGCTTCATGGCTCTCTCTCTCTGCACCCTTCTGTCCTGCTTGGGAAACTTTCAGGCCTTGTGAGAACAAGGAAAGCCGATCTGGCTCCAGGAGAGCATCCTAGTTGAGCTCTCTGGGGGAACTCATGCTTCACCCCTGTCTCAGTCTGAATGTCTCCAAAAAGGAGCAGAGTGTGCTCAGCTGCCTCCATGGCTTGGAAAGGGATCGTGGAGCCTTCCAGCTCCTGCCTCCAAACACCAGCAAGACTCTTAGGAGACAATAGGCCATGATCTTCCTTGCTCCTCTTTTGAAACTAGGAAAGCAGGTACCTCTCAGACACCACCCAAGTGCTCCACCTGTTTCATTTTTAGCCCTGAACCCAACAAGTTAAATGGCCAAGGTCAGCCCGTGTCCAAGAAGATGGCTATTCAAGGACTTGGGCCTCTACTAATCTGTAAAATACTATAACCCCCTGCCCTTCCCTCCACAGGATGGCTATTAGGAGAGTGAACTAAGCATGCTGGTGTAAGGCCTTCCTAAAACTATATGCTCTGTGCACCTTCTGTGTAGTCATCACCATCCATTTGCAAATCTACTTCTAACCCAAGTTCATTCATTTTGGGGAAAAACTCTTGCAGTTTTTATCAAAGAGGTGTGAGTCTTCTAAGCCATTCCAAAGTTCAGGAGAATCCCTGTTGAAAACCTGTGTTCCTGGGGCCCCACTCTCCCCTCAGGCCAAGGGATCTGCATTACCCAGGGCCCAGAGCAATCTGACTCCACAATCAAGTGGTAGAACCACTGTTTTATAGTCTTGGGCAAACAGGGCCTGTCTGGGACCAGGAAGAGAAACAAGGCGATAACAACTCTCCAGGGGCCAGTTGGTGTGGGAGGGAGGGAGAAGTGGGAAGGGCTGTAGCCTTCAGCTGGCCCAATCTCAACTTCTCTGATAAGGAAATAGGGGCCCAGAGAGTGCAGGAGTCAGTCACCAAGGGCATTGTCTTACAGTTGTGTGTTGGTGGTTCCACACCTGTCTGGGCCACACCTCCTCCCAGAGGCCACTCAGTCCCTCTGAGCCCAGAGTTCCTTGTCTAGTGCAAGACTTGAGCTAAGCAGTCCTTTTCAAACTCCTCCTTTGACCTTTTCCTGTCTAGATATTAAATTTGTAATTTTAATTTCTGCAGACCAAATAGAACTGTGACTTTTCTCACAGGAAGAAAACATTTCTTTGGGACTTTAGGCTCAGGAGGCCTTTGTGCCTGGACCTTCTAACCCAGGCAGTCAGGCGAACTCTCCCTGCTGAGACTGGCTCCCAGGGAGGTCTGACTCACCCCTTACCTCAGGGTGATTTCCAGCACGTTCTCCTGGTAGCTTTCAGCCAGCACAGAGCCGAGGGAGCCAGGGTTCCTGGCACAGATAGCACAGTCCATATACTTGTTACCAGGCTGGCAGGCAGCCCTGGAAAGGACTGGAGGTAGACCCCAGAGTCTGATGAAACCTAATTTTTATCAGAATCCATCCCCCTCCATCCCATTTTGGGACACTGATGAGATTCAACCAACTGTTTTAACAAACATGTTTATTAGAAAAGTAAAAAATATTGCATAGGTCTTAATACTTGAACATCAAGTGTATTCATGAACAGTGAGTATCTTCATGTAAACAGTTCTAGATGGAAGACCCAGATGGCACTCCTCTGGGGGAGGGGGTTCCAGCCCCCAGCCCCACTCAGCCCCATCCCCTCACAGTTCAACTCTCCAGAAATGGGGTGGGGATGGGGTGGACGCAGCTCCCAGGTGTATTTTTTTCTTCAAGTGTCAAAGATCTCAAGTGATCCCAACACCTGCTTTTCCTACTCTTACATTCATGCGTCTGTAAGATAGCTGCCTAGAACAGGTCAGTAGTGAAGCTCCAATCCGAGAAACAAAAAGATAAAAAAAAAAAAAAAATACAACAAACACACTTGGTCCCTTCAGACCATGATACAAACCACCTCCATGAACTCCCCCCTCCCTCCTGTCCACTACCATGAACACACAACCCTCAGAGGCCAGAGCAGCCCAGCTGCCCTCCTGCCTCTGTCACACCACTGTTGTTTTAACTGTCAGTAATAATAAAAATAACAAGGTACATGCTACATACACATCCAGCCAGAAGCCTGATTGGCCCCTAAGCCTTTGTTTCATGCTACAGTACTGAGGGGCATTTGCCCCACTGGGGAGCCACCTGTGCAAGACCCCATGAGCTTCCCAGGAAACACTAGTCCCCCACCTCCATCTCTTTCCCTCAGGTGGCTGTTGTCAGTCTTCTAACACAGGCATCAGTCCCTCAGCCCCTGCCTACTGGTCTCCAACCCAAAAGTTCCGTTGCCTCTGCCGTGGGGGGCACTGTGCCCCTCACCCAGGCCGAAGTTCAACACTCTTCAATGAGCAGCTGCTCTGAGCTGTACAGCTTCTTCTTGATGACTCTGAAGCCTGTGCTCAGCGTTAAGGACTGGCTAAAGCCAGGGACGAAGGGAGAGTTGGCGGAGCTGAAGAGCCCCTGGATCTTCGGCCAGAGGCGAGAGTCCAGGCGCAGCACGAGGGTCAGCTGGAAGGTGGGCACCAGACTGGGGTCGAGAGCCAGCTGGCCCACGCTGTGGCAGCTCTTGCCTTGCTCTACGCAGACGTCCAGCAGTGCCCCCCGCAGGCCGCAAGGCTCGCTGTAAGCCAGGCGCAGTAGTTCTTTGCCCACCTGGGTCACCAGCTGGCCGGGCATCAGCAGGCGAGCAGGGCGCCGAGAGCCCAGTCGCGCCTGGGACAGGCTCTCCTGTAGCAGCTGCATCAGGTTGGCACACAGGTGCTCATCCTCGGGGTCGCTGAGCAGCTCGAAGTCGGGAAGGGACACGCCATCCAGGTATGCCGAATCTGGAGGGGGAGCACACCAGGAAGGGTATTAGAGCAGCTTCCACAGAAGATACACAGGCGGGGGAGGTGCTTTTTTCTAAGAAAGCTGAGCTTCTGCCCAGTTCCCGCCCCGCATTTGTATACCCTCTACTCCAATACCCACGCCCCGGGCAATCTGGGTTCTGTTGGGATAGAAAACTAAAATGGTTCTGACCCCTTCCAGTGCGGTGCTTCCTCACCTCCCCGGACCCTCGTCTCGTTCAGCACCAGCCCACTGCTCACCTTCCTCCGGCCCGAAGCCACTGTTACTGCTGTCCAGGGACTCGCAGTCCGAGCTCTCCAGGCTCGCGCAGCGGTCTAGCCCCTCCTCTCGGGCCGCCGACCCCCAGGCTGAGCGCAGCGGCCGATCTGGGGTGGGAGTTCGAGACGCGGATGAAGAAGAGGAGGACGAGAAGCGGTCCCAAAGACTAGGCATGGTGAGGTCAGACGCCAGGACGTTTGCTGATGTGCTCAGTATCCCGGAGCTCAGAAGCCGCTGAAAGACAAGAGGGACACCGCGGAGCGTCAGTCTGGGGGCTGAACAAGACTGCGAGCTCTAGGACCAGTACCGCCGAGGCCGTCCCACGCAGAGAACGGTACACGCAGAAGGGCCACTCACCAGCTAGTGCGGTCAGCGAGAATTGCTGGGACAAGTGCGTCCTGCCGCTTGAATGGGTGCGCGAACTGGTGCCAACCACCGAGCGCTGCCCAGACCTGTCCCTTCAACCCACTCGCACCTCCCCCTTAGCCTGCTGAGATCCCTAGCACCAGCGCAGAGCAGCCTATAAGGTCTAGAGCGGCGAGGCCACGCCCCCTTCCCACCACGGCCCAATCCAGACCCGGGAGTGTGGCCCACCTCGGCCAATGGGCTTCCGGCGCACGTTCGCAACGTTCTCTCCTGCCCGGTGACAGCGGCTTGGCCCCGCCCCTCTTGAGCCCCGGAAAGCTCCGGGCCGAACACCGAGCCGTGGCCACTCCCCTTTTCTGGAAGGGATCCGCGGCGGCTGCAGCTGCCAAGGTCCCTGAGGGCGCTCGCGGCAGGGGAGGATCAAGGAAAGACTTGTTTATTATAGGGTCGCGTTGCTGGGGGAGGGGGTAGCCTGTGACCGAGCTCGAGGGAGACTGGAGAACTTGGGGGGCGGCGGGCAGGAAAAACAGTTACCCCTAGCATCTGGGAGCCTGAGACTCAAAGGCACAACTGGGCTCACAGTGGATGCCTGTGGGACCGCGGCGCGGGGGGCAGACGTTAACCCGGCCACCTCTCGCGCACGTATTCCACGCCGTCCTTGCGTGGAGAGGATCGGGATGGGGGGTGGAATCCAAAGACTGAGCAACTCTGAGCTCGGTGCTTCCGCTCCCCGCGGTCCCACCTGCCTGTCGGCTGTTACCCTAGAGCCCCAGAGGATGGGTTCTTGAGATCCGTGCCCCCAAACGAGCCTAGTCCCCTGTCCTACCCGCTCCCATTGCGCTGCTGTTCCCAAGGAGAAGCCTTGGGTAGGTGGTCAGAGGAATTCGTTTCTGGGCTTGGGCTCCTGCCCCCTGGCCCAGCGGCCGAGAACAAGGACCCACAACAGACCGACACACTGACCCATCCGCGGGCCCTAGGGACCGACAGCAGCGCTGCCCGGCCTCCCCCGCCTGCAGCGGCGAGAGGGGGCATCCGCCAGGTCCTAAAGCCCTTTGTTCCCGCTTTGTCTAAAAGACTCAGAATTCATCAAACCGGGAACCGATATCTCAGACAAGCATTGCAGAGAGTGCAATGGCCATCCCCGGTTTCGTCATTCAGGCGGGGCCACAGGAAATTTGGCCTGGCAGCGATGCTCTAGGGCTGACAGTGGGTTGCTGGGGGTGGGAGGAGGTTTGGACGATCTCGACCTTTATTCGTTAAAGGTTTATCAATCCGGGACACGCGGACACTGATGGAAGAGAGAACCAAACTTACATCAGACACTCTGGACCGCCGGTAGGAGCGAAACCAGATCAGACAGACGAGCCTCGCTCCAGGGCAGGCTTGCGCGTGACATGTGACACATGCCAAAGAAGTCAGGCCACTGCCATCTCCAGCCCCACCACACCCCCACCCCAAATTTAATTTTTTTTTTAAAGTCCGACCTATGGGGGCTGGGATTGTGGCTCAGTGGTGGAGCGCTCGCCTAGCACTGGCGGGACCCGGGTTTGATCCTCAGCACCAAATAAAGATAAAGGCATTGTGTTGTGTCCATCTACACCTAAAAAATAATATTTTTAAGAAAACAGTCCGACCTACTGACCATGGGGCAAACTAAGACTTAGTACCGCAAAGGGCGGAATACAAGCCCTGCATTCCTACTCTCATTTTACAGGTGGAGAATCATTTTAGGGGGCAAATTTATGGGAAAAAAATTAGGGGCCCTAGATTAGGAGACATCTTAAAAACAGCTGCAGAATAGAAGAGTCTTTAGCCCTGAGGCTTCCAAGGCCCGAACACTGACCACCTCTTCCTATGCCTCTTTCTATCCTTTAGGCTCCACCACTTGCTGGGAGCCTTAAAGACATCAGATCAAGGTGATGAGATGAAGGACGAGGAGTTGGAGCAAATCACCCATGACTGAGGGGGAAAGAAGAGTTGGGGATGTCTTGTGTGAGTGAGTCTTCCTGTTGCTCAGGAGAGGAGATAAGGGAATTAATCTACCAGAGCAACATCCATTTCTCCCACCAGGCTAACTGAGCTGGGGACACCAGGCCAGCTGAGCATAGACTAAAGTGGTTTTCTTTTTCTTCCATTCCCCTCTCACCCCAGGGCTTGGATCCAGGCTTGATGCATGCACAGCATGTGCTGGACCCTGAGCTTCACCTCTAGCCCTTCTTTTCCTTTTTTCTCCTTTTTTTCTTTTTGACAGAAAAAAAGAAAAGAAATATATCAGAAAAATCTGGAACATTAATCAAGAAAAATAGAAGAAATTAAGCAGATAGTAATAAGCGAAGATATCCAAAGTCAGTTTGGGAAGGTCAGTTTATTAGGAATCACTCATTTATCCAACAAACACCATCATGGACTATATGCCTAGAGGTGTGCCCGGCATCTTTTTTTTTCATTCACTGTCTCTTTAATAACTGTTAATAAAAGAGTTTCTCACAAATGGAAAGTGTGATGTTAATAGGCACTGGGTAATTTTCTTTTCAAAAGAAATCTGTAGGGCTGGGTCTGGGGCTCAGTGGGAGAGTGCTTGCCTAGCATGCATGAGGCACTGGTGTTGGATCCTCAGCACCACATAAAAATAAACAAATAAAATGAAGGCATTCTGTCCATCTACAACTACAAAAAAAAATTATTAAAAAAATCCCCAGAAATCCGGGCTGGGGTTGTGGTTCAGTGATAGAGTGCTCCCTAGCAAGCATGGGGCACTGGGTTTGATCCTCAGCACTATATAAAAATAAAATAAAGATATTGTGTCCACCTAAAACTAAAAAATAAATTAAAAAAATAAATCCATAAATGTTGCTCCCTTCTCCCTACCCCACCGCCTTTCTCCAATCCTGAAGACTGATGTGTTTACCATGAACCATATCTCCAGCCCTTTTTAAAATTTTGAGACAGGGTCTTGTTAAGTTGCCCAGGATGACATCTTATTTGTGATCCTTCTGCCTCAGCCTCCCTCAGAGTTGTGTACCACCCCCTCTGGCTGGTTTCTCTTGCTTTTTAAGTGGGTGTGGGTGGGTGTGGGAGGACCAGGGTCCTAGCCCTGGAGGTGTTTCCCAGACTAGGAGGGAGTCTGTCCCAGGATAACAAAATCCTGCTAGAAGAACTGACAGAGGCTTAGGATGGGGGCTCACTTGTCTTCCCCTGTGTGACCCACACACTGAGATGGAGGGGGACAAGGCCCTATATCTGGTCTGCCAGGAGAACCTTTGAACCTAGAAGAGGGATTCCTTAACCTGTCTAAGGAGATGGAGAGAAGGGTCTCTAGAGCTGGAAAGCCTTTATCATTGCATCACTCACTCACCCTTTCCTGCCCTAAACACTGCCCCTCCTCCCCCGCCCCCGGGGAGCCTTTCTGGAAAGGGCAGCTCAGCTTCTAGCCTCTGAACCAAGCCTCTGCAGAGCCCTCAGAGAACCTGTGCACTTACATTTGGTGTTTTCCCCTCACGCTCCTACTGCCCTCAGCCAAAGCTGGCTGCAGGTCAGGCTTGCCTGGACCTGCTTGCGACCTGCTTCCACCAGCGCCCCTACCCCAACCCTTCACCCTTAGGTGTCCTCATCAAGTCACTCTCACACCCTGTGTATATCTCTTATTAATGCTTGTTTCCACTTGGAATGCTCGAGGATAGTGTTCTGCTCGTCTTGCAGTAGCCTGCACTGTACCAGGTGCCTAGTAGAGGCTGGGTCAGTGTCCCTTGGATGAATAATGAATGAACGGATAAATGGATAGCCAGGTGAAGCGCGAAGGTGGCTTCTTCCAGAATTGCAAAGATCTACACCTGGATAGCCAGGATCTAGCTGGGCCAATGGGATGGCCCTTCATAGGACCTTGATGCTACCTTCCAATCCCCTTTCTGACAAGCACTGCCAAGGGCCTTGGACATGTTTGAACATTTCATTTTTCAGGTGGGGTCTGGAAGCAAGGCTTCTAAGCAACTTGGTTTTTTCCAGCTGGAACATAGGTAGCAACCCAGGAAGCTAGGGAGAGATGACACAGTACAAAGGACTTTCCCTTTAAGAATTAAAATGGTACTGGGGGTGGGGGCTATGCTGGGGATTGAACCCAGAGCTCACACCTGCTAGACAAGTGCTCTATACCCCCAGCCAAAATATTTTTAATTGAGGTGAAGATCATATAGGAAATTAACCAGTTCAAAGTAAACAATTAGGGCTGGGGATGTGGCTCAAGCGGTAGCGCGCTCGCCTGGCATGCTTGCGGGGCCCCCGGGTTCGATCCTCAGCACCACATACAAACAAAGATGTTGTGTCTGCCGAAAACTAAGAAATAAATATTAAAAAATTCTCTCTCTCTCTTTAAAAAAAAAGTAAACAATTAGTACATTCAAAATGTTGTGCAACTGTCACCTCTGTATAGTTTCAAAACATCATTATCCTCGCAAAGGGGACAGTGTACCCATCAAACAGTCACTCCCCTCAAAACATCTTTGACGTTTATGTTCCTTGTTGGTGGGGTTGGGGGCTGCTTCTGAGTGGCTTACTCTGGAGAGTAGTGTTCCGGGGATCACTTACCACTCACTGCCCAATTCGCAACATGGACTCTACCTTGAGGTGACCCTGGTAGGAGACTAACCAGCCACCTTGCAGGAGTGGGCTGTCATTGTGGCCTAGGCAACCCAGACCTCTGGAGCTGGTGACCAAGCCCCACGTTCCAGCCTCTGTGTCCTGGGCCCTGACCATGCAGAAACCCTCTTTCTGGGCTGTGCTCTATTCCCGTGGGACCCACTGCAGCCTGCAATTTAGAGTCAATGAGCACTCCCTCCCGGCCACCTGCCCCTCCCTGTGCAGGCGGTTCCTGTCCCATGCACCCGTTCCCAGGGCCTCGGTCTGGCACATTGCCCCAGTCGGGTTTGGGAAGTTAAACCAGATCTTGGAGTGGGGGTGTGATTCTGGGAACCCGAGAATTCAAGATGGGAACCCCCGAAGGCCAGCTAGCTCGCCTGCATGGCTTATAGTGTCTTCTCAGCTCTTTGGAAACTTCTGACTGGGGGTAGTGAAGGTGGAGTGGGGAGACCGCGGGTCAGGGCTGCGGGGAGAGGCTGGAGTGTTGGTAGGAGGTGGAGACAAGAAGCCAGCAAAAGTCTTTCCAGGCCTTCTCTGGCTCTTTTACTTAAAACAACAACAAATAACTTGGTCAAAATAGCAAGATTATAAAATGCACCTGGCTTAGTAAAATGGTTTTTGAAAAGCTGGCGCCAGCCGGGGGTTTCAAGTAGGATTTTGATTGTTCTACTGAAGGGTGAGTTAAAGACTCAGTGGGGAGTCTTTTTGCAAATGAAGCTGCTTTTTGAAATGGAAATACTAACAATACAATGTATTGCAGCCTTTCAAAGAAGCTTTTAAAATTTGTTAGCTGCGAGCACCCTGAGGAACAAATATAGTGACTTCTACAGACCGGACACTGAAGCCCAGAGAGCCCAGTAATCCTTCCATCAGCCTGGGGCTTTCAAGTCTGATTCATAATTGGAATCAGGGGCTTGGGCTGTAGCTCAACAGTAGAGCTCCAGGTTAGCATGCACGAGGCCCTGGTTCAATCCCCAGCGTGCCCGCGCGCACACCACCCCCCAATCGGAATCAATGGGGGAGGTCATTTCCACAAGCCCAATCTGAATGACTGGGCAGGTTAGGTGTGATCCTATTATACAGAATTATCTGGGTAATTCTGGGCTCATCTTTAGCACAGACATGACTGTTGATCTCTCAGGCAGAAAAACAGGGCCTGGAATGAAAGCTGGGTAGCTCGCCGGACTATCAAAGGGCCTCCTTGTGGAGGCAGGGTGGGTTATGGGTGGGTGAGGGCATACAGCTTCGGAGACAAGGCCCACACATGACAATAGTGAGCTCACAGATAGCCAATTCTGTTGGAGTCTTAAGTTCACAAGAAGTCATTTCCTCTGGGGACAGGGCAGAGGTAGTGTTAACCCCACAAAGGGTTGGCTTGATAAACCACTCATGCCCACCGACTGGAAAAACAGCTTAGGATTCTGCAGACCCACGTTTATTACCAGCAATAGCAAAGGTCCAGACAGCCCACGAGAATAACCCAGCCTTCTTGTCTCATTCCCACCAGCCAGGGTGGTCAAGGGAGTTGCCTGAGGGACACAGCCAGATTTAAAACCTCATCCTTCTATCTCTTCCTTAACCTGTGGTTCTCTGGAAACCCCTCTGTTTTTGGTAACAGCTTTCTGCCAGTTTACTTCCATCCTGGGACAGAATCCTCGAAAGAAAGCAATGAAGTGGGAGGAGGGGTAGGCAGCCCCCTCTTTAGTTAGTACCTGAACCTAAGCTAAATGGCTGGCCACTTCCTGGAGGCCAGCCCAGGCCCTGTGGATCAGGGACAGAAGTTAGTAGGCTGTAGCCTTGATGCAGTCCCCAGGAAGCATAGCATGTCTTTGAAGCCCAGTGTTTTTATTAAAAACAAACAAACAAACAAACAATACAACTCTGCATTCTATTTTATATTTTATCTGTTAATTTTAGTAGCAAACTTTTAAATTACTAGGGACATGAATCTCTCCCAGCAAAAATATTTTAATAAAAAGAAAGAAACACTGTGTTTATCCTGTGGCTTTATGAAGTTTTGAGATTTTCATAACCCAGTTTTGGAATTCAGAGCTACAGAATCTCAAAGGCCTCTTCAACCTCCACAAGGACCCTAGCAAGGGAAAAAGATATAACAAGTTCAGTGGACCTGCTGTTCCCAAAATTCCAGGCCAAAAAAAGAATAAGAAAAAAAAAATGACCAGGCCTGGCCTGCAAGGGGTTCACAGTCAGGGGTCTGGAGGAGGCCTACCCTACTGGAGAAGGCATTTACAGAAGGCTCAGCACTTTTTGAGGTTTCCAACTGTCAAATATCAAAGGGGGAAGAGGGAAAGGATGGACTTTGTTCCTCCAGCTAGAGAGCTGGGGGTGACAGCAAGGATGATCAGATGTCACGGTGTGGGCAGCCAGAATCCAGTCTTACAGATGGCCTAGACAGCCAAATGAGCTTACTTTCTTTCTCTCCTTTTTTTCAGAGGAGAAACTGTGTGTGTGTGTGTGTGTGTGTGTGTGTGTGTGTGTGTGTGTGTGTAGGGGTTTGGTCCAGCCCCTGGGTTTCCCAAAGGGCTCAGGTGAGTAGGACCAGATTAGGATGCTTCAGCACAGACAATTAATTGCTCTCACTTTTAGGACTCTGGCAGTAGAGTGAACTTTAAAGATTTTAAATGTTAGGGCCAGCAGGCCTGGGGAGTACCCTGTCTGTCTCCACTCTACTGGTGAGGAGCTGAGCTGCAGGGCAGGGAGCCTTAGGAGATGCAGTTAGGCCTCAAGTTAGGCCTCAGGAATTTGGCTTTCCCCTCCTGGGAACTCCTTCCTCACCCCTTTGTCAAACCTCTAACCTCACCCACGAAATGCATTTTTATCTCCAGTGACCTTA